GTGCGGATGGCCAAGTTGAGCGCCTCGCGCCAGGCCCGGTCCTCCGTTTCATCCAGCTGCCGCAGGATCCCGTCACTGATCTGCAACATCTGCTGGATCTTCGTCAGCTGGCCATCTTGAATGGCAGCCAGGAGACCTTCGGGAAATTTGAGCTTCTTGTTGACTATCTCCTTCCAGTTGGTCGGCTAAAGGGTGAGAAAAAGATTTGGGTGAATTAATTCTCCTGTCATTACAGATCGCGTCATCACGGGTTCCAGTGGATCCCAAGAACCGTGGTGGCACAGTGGTCAGAATGTCCACAGGCAAAGAGAAGGAAAGGGAGGAGGTGGGGGGCTCGGACCCTCCGTTGGCCACCACTTTATTCTCTTACTAGTCACTAGATGGCGCTCGAGGCAACCAGATGCCCGCCCGTCCATCCAGAGTCACCCTTGATGGCTCAGCTGGCTGTGGATGATGGGAGTTTCATCCAGCACATCTGGAGGATAACAGCCTCTATGACTGAATATCTGCCGTGGTGGCTACCATCCAGGGCTCATTCTGAGAACCCACAGGCTGGTCTGTGCAGGGCGTTTGTGTGTTGTGTCAACCCAGAGAATCTGGTCAGGTTGGGGGAAGGCAAAATACTTTGGGGGTCTAGAGGGAAACTCCCCCCCCCTCAAGTAACAGTGTCCGCTGAGGTTGGAAAAAGTCATGATAGTGCCAGAACTTGATCAATAGGGCAAGTCTTTCTTCAAAGTGGTGTAGCTGCCAACTTCTTTCTTTCTTTCTTTCTTTCTTCCTTTCGTCCTTCCTTCCTTCCTTCCTTTCGTCCTTCCTTCCTTCCTTCTCCTTCTCCCTTCTAGCACTGATGATGTTCCCTAGTTGGATCATGAAACGTCTGCACAAAAACCACCAAGCTCAGAGAGCACCCAGGACCCCACAGTCTGTCCTTCCTTCCTTCCTTCCTTCCTTCCTTCCTTCCTTCCTTCCTTCCTTCCTTCCTTCTTTTCTTTCTTTCTTTCTTTCTTTCTTCTTTCGTCCTTCCTTCCTTCCTTCCTTCCTTCCTTCCTTCCTTCTCCTTCTCCCTTTTAGCACTGATGATGTTCCCTAGCTGGGTCATGAAACGTCTGCACAAAAACCACCAAGCTCAGAGAGCACCCAGGACCCCACAGTCCTTCCTTCCTTCCTTCCTTCCTTCCTTCCTTCCTTCCTTCCTTCCTTATTTATTTATTTATTACATTTACATGCTGCCCATCTTGCTAACAAATGGACTCCTTCGACCTGCTGCCCCCAAGGAGAGATGGCAGCAACGGAGGCATTTGAACTCGGAAGAAACGGGGGGGGGGTCGCCTTCCTGTGGATGGGCCCCAGGGAGACCCCCTCGGCCCCTTGAACCTCCCCAGGGGCCGGGACCAGCCCCCCCTCTCTCTCGGCTCTGCGCTTTTTCATTCTCTCTCTTCCCCCCCCCCCTTCCCCGCTCTCTCCTTAGCCCTTTGCCGGATCTCCGCGGCCCCGGGCAGGGAAGCGGGGGGCTCCGTGGGGCTTCCTTGCGGGGGAAATTGGGGGGAGTGGGCGAGGTGGAGCAACCCACCCGGACCCCTCGCCTCTCTTCTTCTGCTTCCCAAGGGGTGGGGGAGCCCCCCGCTTCACCTTGGGGAAGGACCCCCCCCGGTGTCCGTGATTGCGTGCGTGCGTGCGTGGGTGGGTGGGGGGCTGCAGGACACCCCCGAGGATGCCCAAGCGCCTGGGGCGAAAGAAGCGTGCCCAGCAGCTCGTGTGCAAACAAGAGAGGTGACCCGTGTTGGGGGGGGGGTGGCGAAGGAGCCGCGACGGGCCCCCGGGCTGCCTCGTTGCAGCCGGTGGCCCCCTCCCCGAGTCTTCTCCCCCCCCCAACACGGGTCACCTCTCTTGTTTGCACACGAGCTGCCGGGCACGCTTCTTTTGCCCCGGGCGCTTGGGCATCCTCGGGGGTGTCCTGCAGCTGGGGGGCTTCCACCCGACGGCTGCCGGGGAAGCTCAGCCCTCCCGCCCCGGGACGCCCCTCCGGACCCCGCGGCACTTACCGAGATGCCCTCGTACTCCGTGGCCATCGCGCCCTCCCCCGGGGGGCTCCGGGCCCCTCCCGCCAAGCGCCCCTTCCCCCGCAAGTCAGCCCAGGCTCCCGGCCCTCGGCCCCGTCGCTGCCCGCGCCCCGCGCTTGTTGTTCCCGGCGCCGGGAGGAGCCCCGGATCCCACCTGCCCAGCCCCGGGGGGCCCGGTTGCCACGCGGAGGCCTCCTCCTCCCCCGGGAGGGCGGGAGGCGCAGGTGGCGGCGGGTGGCAGGCGGGCCCTTCCCCGGCCAGCCTGCAGGAGGGCCCTCGCGCCAGCTCTCCTCCCGGGGGGATTGGAGGGAGGGGTCCCCAAGAGGTTCCCTCTGGAAATAAAAGGGGTCCGGGGTTCCCGGCCAGTTTGCAGGCAAGGCTCGGTGGGATCAGGGCACGTCTTCCTGCGCTTCGCAAATCCCTTTCAGTCACACCTTAAAATGTGGGGGTCCCTGGTGCTCTCTGAGCTGGGCGGTTTTCTTGCAGATGTTTCATGACCCAACTAGGGAACATCATCAGTGCTGGAAGGAAGGAAGGAAGGAAGGAAGGAAGGAAGGAAGAAAGAAAGAAAGAAAGAAAGAAAGAAAGAAAGAAAGAAAGAAAGAAAGAAAGAAAGAAAGAAAGAAAGACAGTGGGGTCCTGGGTGCTCTCTGAGCTGGGTGGATTTCTTGCAGATGTTTCATGACCCAACTAGGGAACATCATCAGTGCTAGAAGGGAGGAGGAGGAGGAGGAGGAGAATGATCATGGGGTCCTTGGTTCTTTCTGAGCTTGAATTGTGAAGGTCCTTGGTGCTCTCTGAGCTGGGTGGTTTCCTTGCAGACGTTTCATGACCCAACTAGGGAGCCTCATCAGTGCTAGGAGAGAGTGGGGTTTGCAGAGAGGGAGGAGGAGGGGGGGGACTGTGGGGGTCGATGCTTTCTGAACTCCATGATTTTCTTGCAGACATTTCATGACCCAACTAGGGAACATCATCAGTGCTAGAAGGGAGGAGGAGGAGGAGAGGGAGCTCCTTGGTGATCTCTGAACTTGGAGATTTTCTTGCAGACCTTTGGTTACCCAAACTAGGCTATTCTATTTTCTACTCTACTCTACTCTTCTATTCTCATTACATTCTATTTTCTATTCTTTTATTCTATTCTGCTATTCTCATCACATTCTATTTTTTATTCTATTCTCTACTCTACTTTTGTTCTATTTTCTACTCCTATTCTATTCTATTCTCTACTCTACTATTCTATTTTCTACTCTACTTCTATTCTATACTTTACTTCTATTCTATTTTCTAATGTATTCTATTCTATTTTCTACTCTACTTCTATTCTATTCTCTACTCTTCTATTTTCTACTATTCCATTCTATTCTATTCTACTCTATTCCATTCCATTCTACTCTATTCTATTCCATTCTATATTCCATTCCATTCCCTATTCTCCATTCCATTTAAAAGCATCTCTTCTTTTGATGTCAAATGTGACTGTATTGAACATTGTCTACCATCGTCTGTTTATAAGTGCATTGAATGTAATAAGTCATTTTTACCTGGTTTGGTAATTAGATTCTCGAAGTCACTTCCCTGTTTCTAAAGTGTTTAAAAAGTCTCTTTCCAGCAGGACCACCAATTAGAGAGCCAGTTTGGACTAGCAAGTAAGGCAGCAGGCTAAAAAAGTATGAAAAGTCAAGTCCCACCTTGGGCACAAAAGCCGGCTGGGGGACTTTGGGCCAATCACCAGCAGACTCTGAGTTCTAGTGCCGCCTTAGGCACGAAAGCCAGCTGGGTGACTAGTCCATCCTTCTCAGCCCTGCCCACCTCAAAGGATTGTTGTAGGAAACATAGGAGGCAGAAGATGTGTTGGATACATTCACCAGCTTGAGTTATTTTTGTAAAAACAATAAAGGCAGGGTACGTATAAGTCAGGGATAAGCAACCTTGGCTTTTATGACTCAGTGGACTTCAACTCCCAGAATTCCTGGGCCAGCATGGGGGAACTTTGGCCCCTTCATGACTCGCGGACTTCAACTCCCAGAATTCCTGAGCCAGCATGGGGGAACTTTGGCCCCTTCATGACTCGCGGACTTCAACTCCCAGAATTCCTGAGCCAGCATGGCTGAGCTTGGAAACCTCTCCCTTTCCCCTCACCACGGCTGGCTCAGGAATTCTGGGAGTTGAAGTCCACGAGTCATAAAAGAGCCCAGGTTGCCTACCCCTGGTCTAGACTCTTGGCCTAGGGTAGGGGTCTTCAAACTTGGCCCTTTTATGACTGGTGGACTTCAACTCCCAGAATTCCTGAGCCAGCCATGCTGAGGGAAACGGGAGGTTTCCAAGCTGAACTCAGGAATTCTGGGAGCTGAAGTCCACGAGTCATAAAAGAGCCAAGGTTGCCTACCCCTGGTATAAGTAAATAAATACATACATAAACCCAGAATGAAGGGGCGATCAAAGCCACTCACTCTTGTCCTTTGGAAGTAGAAACTGACTCTTGGAAGTAAAACTCCTTTTTTTCCCTCTTGGCAAACCCCCATTTACACATATGTATTAAATGCAATATTATTACAACCACCACTCAAGTTTGTTTTTTTTACTGGAGAGGAACTGGAATGTTACTTAATTAAACCAGAGACTTTCTGGATTCGTTCCTTAACTGTTTGATCAAGGCCAGACCTATTTCGCTTGCTTGTCCAAGGCCAGCATAGATTAAATCTTTGGCCATTGGCCCAACAAGCTTTCTCCTTGTTTAGTCTTCCTGGAGGAAACCCCAAAAAGCTGGCAGAAAGTTGTGTGACTTTAAGTGGACTTCACAGTCCTCCAGACCAGCGGTTCTCAACCTTTTCTATACTCCCCGGCACCCCTAGAACGCTTCTGATATATCCTCGCACCCCTTACAAAATTTTGAAACAAATTATGCATATACACTATAATTTTGAAACTTCTAAGACCAGGTTTTCGCAACCCCTGGGGTATCGAGACACACACACACACACACACACACACACGCGCGCGCGGTTAGGAGCCCCTGCTTCAGACTTTGATGAACGGAGAGAGGACAGTGGATCCAGCTGTGAGGCTTTGAGTGGCCCAAATGGAGGAACTGCAAGAATATGCGCCACAGAACGGAACAATCCTTG